AAACAATACCTCCTCCCACCCCACTGTCCTGCTGGTAATAGCTTATCTAAAGTGATCAGCAGGTGGGCCACTTCCAGCACAAATCCAGGTTTTCTCACCCTCCACCCCCCCACACAAATTCACTCTCCTGCTGGTGCTAGCCCATCCAAAGTGACAACTCTTTACATAATCAAGTCGGGCTATTTCCTGCATAGATCCAGGTTTTCTCACTTCCCCCCCACCCCCAAACACACACAAACTCACTCTCCTGCTGGTAATAGCTCATCTAAACTGACCACTCTCCAAGTTTAAATCCAAGTTAAACCAGAATATCTGGGGGGGGGGGGGGGGGGTAGGAAAAAACAAGAGGAAACAGGCTACCTTGCATAATGACTTAGCCACTCCCAGTCTCTATAACCTCAGCCATGCGGAACGCAATGCCATCCACAGCCTCAGAAACAACTCTGACATCATAATCAAAAAGGCTGACAAAGGAGGTGCTGTTGTCATCATGAATAGGTCGGAATATGAACAAGAGGCTGCTAGGCAGCTCTCCAACACGAGTTTCTACAAGCCATTACCCTATGATCCCACTGAGAGTTACCAAAAGCAACTACAGCATTTGCTCAAGAAACTTCCTGAAAAAGCACAAGATCAAATCCGCACAGACACACCCCTGGAACCCCGACCTGGGATATTCTATCTACTACCCAAGATCCATAAACCTGGAAATCCTGGGCGCCCCATCATCTCAGGCATTGGCACCCTGACAGCAGGATTGTCTGGCTATGTAGACTCCCTCCTCAGGCCCTACGCTACCAGCACTCCCAGCTACCTTCGAGACACCACTGACTTCCTGAGGAAACTTCAATCCATCGGTGATCTTCCTGATAACACCATCCTGGCTACTATGGATGTAGAAGCCCTCTACACCAACATTCCACACAAAGATGGACTACAGGCCGTCAGGAACACTATCCCCGATAATGTCACGGCTAACCTGGTGGCTGAACTTTGTGACTTTGTCCTTACCCATAACTATTTCACATTTGGGGACAATGTATACCTCCAGATCAGCGGCACTGCTATGGGTACCCGCATGGCCCCACAGTATGCCAACATTTTTATGGCTGATTTAGAACAACGCTTCCTCAGCTCTCGTCCCCTAAAGCCCCTACTCTACTTGCGCTATATTGATGACATCTTCATCATCTGGACCCATGGAAAAGAAGCCCTTGAGGAATTCCACCATGATTTCAACAATTTCCATCCCACCACCAACCTCAGCCTGGTCCAGTCCACACAAGAGATCCACTTCCTGGACACTACAGTGCTAATAAACAATGGCCACATAAACACCACCCTATACCGGAAACCTACTGACCGCTATTCCTACCTGCATGCCTCCAGCTTTCACCCTGACCACACCACACGATCCATCGTCTACAGCCAAGCTCTGCGATACAACCGCATTTGCTCCAACCCCTCAGACAGAGACAAACACCTACAAGATCTCTGTCAAGCTTTCTTACAACTACAATACCCACCTGCAGAAGTAAAGAAACAGATTGATAGAGCCAGAAGAGTTCCCAGAAGTTACGTACTACAGGACAGGCCTAACAAAGAAAATAACAGAACGCCACTAGCGGTCACCTTCAGCCCCCAACTAAAACCCCTCCAACGCATTATTAAGGATCTACAACCTATCCTAAAGGATGACCCAACACTCTCACAAGTCTTGGGAGACAGGCCAGTCCTTGCCTACAGACAGCCCCGCAACCTGAAGCAAATACTCACCAACGACCACATACCACACAACAGAACCACTAACCCAGGAACTTATCCTTGCAACAAAGCCCGTTGCCAATTGTGCCCACATATCTATTCAGGGGACACCATCACAGGGCCTAATAACATCAGCCACACTATCAGAGGCTCGTTCACCTGCACATCCACCAATGTGATATATGCCATCATGTGCCAGCAATGCCCCTCTGCCATGTACATTGGTCAAACTGGACAGTCTCTACGTAAAAGAATAAATGGACACAAATCAGATGTCAAGAATTATAACATTCATAAACCAGTCGGAGAACACTTCAATCTCTCTGGTCACGCAATCACAGACATGAAGGTCGCTATCTTAAAACAAAAAAACTTCAAATCCAGACTCCAGCGAGAAACTGCTGAATTGGAATTCATTTGCAAATTGGATACTATTAATTTAGGCTTAAATAGAGACTGGGAGTGGCTAAGTCATTATGCAAGGTAGCCTGTTTCCTCTTGTTTTTTCCTACCCGCCCCCCCCCAGATATTCTGGTTTAACTTGGATTTAAACTTGGAGAGTGGTCAGTTTAGATGAGCTATTACCAGCAGGAGAGTGAGTTTGTGTGTGTTTGGGGGTGGGGGGAAGTGAGAAAACCTGGATCTATGCAGGAAATAGCCCGACTTGATTATGTAAAGAGTTGTCACTTTGGATGGGCTAGCACCAGCAGGAGAGTGAATTTGTGTGGGGGGGTGGAGGGTGAGAAAACCTGGATTTGTGCTGGAAATGGCCCACCTGCTGATCACTTTAGATAAGCTATTACCAGCAGGACAGTGGGGTGGGAGGAGGTATTGTTTCATATTCTCTGTGTGTATATAAAGTCTGCTGCAGTTTCCACGGTACACATCTGATGAAGTGAGCTGTGGCTCACGAAAGCTCATGCTCAAATAAATTGGTTAGTCTCTAAGGTGCCACAAGTACTCCTTTTCTTTTTGCAAATACAGACTAACACGGCTGTTCCTCTGAAAGAAGTGAAACGCATTGTTCAGGTGGCCAGGCAAATGGATGGCGATGGGATTGTCGACATCCTTGAGGAAGAAACTGAAGAATTAATTGAGAGCCACAGAGAAACATTGACTAACGAAGAGTTAGAGGAACTGATAATCGTCTATAGAAGACGAAGATGATGACGACAAACAGGAAGAGCCAGCAAGTTGGAATCTTCATAAATTTGCTGAAGTGTTCCAAGCAGCGAAACACTTGAATGATTTAATTTCTAAATAAAATCACACGTAGTATTACAGATGATTTGACACCTTATCAATAAATGTTTGAACAGCTCAAGAGACAACAGTGACAGTTGCCGATGACCATGTTTTTCAAGGAAAAACAACCAGCAGCAGATAAGCCTACGCAATCAACTTCTCGAGCTGAACCAGAGCCAACCACTTCATCTACGACTCATTCTCTATCACTCAAGTTCTCTGTCACCTCCGTCTCCTGGATCGACATCAAGCCCTGATGACCCCCTGTAATTACCCCCCTGTAATTAAAAATACAGTACTGTAAAATTATATTTGTCATATGTACTCTTTATTATATACTGTACATTACTGTATACATTATACATTTATACATATTACTGTACAGGGTTGTATACACAAAACCATGTACAATATACTGTACTTTATGGGAGATTTAAGGGATTTTCAAGGGTAATTTTGACTAAATGTGATTTTCGCCTTACGCGCTGACTTTAGAACCTAACCCCCACGTAAGATGTGAGTCCACTGTATAAGCTCTCTGAGGAAGGCACTAATAGGATTTGTCTACATGAAAAGTTATACCAGTATATTTATGTCTTTATAGTTAAACTGCTATAGGTATAACTCCTCTTATGGACACTCTTAGTATAGAATAAGTGGCCTTTTTTGGTTTAACTTGCTTTCAAAGCCACCTAACCTAAATCAGTAAAAGGCACTCATTCCAGAATAAACATGTCCACACAGGGAGCTACACTAGCATAACTATTGGTTTAAATTCACACCTTACTGTCTGCATACTCCTATAACTTCCCAGGTAGACATGCCCATTACTGCGTGCATGAACAATGCCTAATCCAGTGGGGCCCCAAGATGGACTACCACATCCAGGCACTACTGTAACGTAAGTAATCAGAAATGAAAAATTTCAACTTGGTGAAATGGTTTTCACTCTATGAATTGACACTCGATCACTATTGATTACTTTGAGTGATCGGGCAAGTCATGTGGTGTTGGGTCTGCTCCAGGCACTTCTGGCACGAATACTTGGTGCATGAAAATGTTAAATTCCATGGACGCACACTTTGAAATTAATTTCCTAACAGTGTATATGCCTTTAAGAATGCCTTGGGGACACATTCGCAGAAAGAACCCCAGAATGAGGGGGAGAAGCAGCGTGAGTGAAACAAATTAATGAAACTATGAGCGAGACTCCAAGAAAATACTGAGCTGTGCATGACAGTTGTGATCCTCAGCCAGTTACCAATGGCAGATAGGGATCGGTGCAGTTGGAGGGTCTCAAGAAGTTGGGCTCCTGGAACACTCTGCAGTTGGGTGACAGCTGGGGGGAGTTCCTAGCACCTGGGATTCTGGGACACTCTGTGGTTGGGTGACAGCTGTGGGGGGTCCCTGGTAGCCAGGATCCGGGGACAGTCTGTGGCTGGGTGACAGCTGTGGGGGGTCCCTGGTAGCTAGGATCCGGGGACCCTGCGTTTCCGAGCCAGTTGGGACTCGGGCCCCTTAGACATGGCAGTCCGGGTTCGGGAACTGCGCGGCCATGAGAATTGGGCGAGGGGCCTCCTCCCTGGTGGGCCGCATATCGCGCAAGCGCCCCAGGCCGTTGCCTGTTTCTCGAGCCGGCGGAACGGCCATACGCGGCGGCTTGGGAGCCTGCACCTCGGGGTGCGGACGCTTCCGCCTCAGCCGGGACTCGTACGACGCGCGTGTTGTAACAGCGGCAAACAGGAAACGCCCTGCGATTCCCTTACAAGGGCATCACCATCTCCCTCTCCCCCGCCCCGCCCCGCACGGTGGAATGCGGTGAGCGCACCGGACTGCACCATCACATCTCGAGGGCGGGGGGGTGTAGTCCGAACCAACTCTCTCGGGCGGGGGTCGGGAGTAGCAGGCTCACTGCGGAGCAGCCGCACTTTCCTCCCCGGTATCTGCGCTGCGGTGGCTCCCGGAGCCTGACTGGCGCGTTCTCCCCGCCGATGGTGTAGCCCGGGTCCCTTCTTCCCCCCCCCTTGCTGGCCGGGCGGTGGTTCGGTCTAGATCGCACTCTCCGGAAGTACCAAGGCAGCTGGAGCAGCCGCCGCTTTCTCCCAGTCCCGTTCCGATCTGAGGCTCTGCTACAGCCGCCGCCAGGTGAGGCCGCGTGGCGCGGGCCGGGGGGAGGGGCTGGGTTCGGGGTCGCCTGGGTCTAGTGTCCAAGTACTCGCGCTGGGCGGGAGGCCGGCCCGTCCCGGCCGCCCCTGTGGGCATTGGCTGGCAGGGGGCTGTTAGTGAGGGGTAGGGCTGAGTCCCGCTGCCCCAGGCTGGGGGGAGGAGGGGTGGGGGACAGAGTTGCTGCCCCTATGTGGAGTGGCGGTTGGTGGGTGGGTCGCAGCCGGGCTGAGCTGCCCCTCCTGCGCGGGGAGGAGGCTGCCGGGGCTGCCCCGCCCGGTGGGCGTGGATGGGAAGGGCCGCCCCGCTGATGGGCCCGGGCGATGTGTGTCAGGCGGTTCTGAGGCTGGGGCCGGTTTCACTAGAGCAGGGGTCTCAAACTCAAACGAGCACGAGGGCCACATGAGGACTGGTCCATTAGCCCAAGGGCTGCACCACTGACCACCACCACCCCCTGCTGCCCTGGCCCCCACTCCACCCCTTCTGTGAGGCCCTACCCTGCCTTTTCCCACCCCTTCCCTGAAATCCCCACCCCAACTCTGCCCCCCTCCCTGCCCCTAGGGGGTGCAGGAGGGGGTGCATGGTATGTCAGGGGGTTTGGGTCAGGGTGTGGCAGGTGGCTCAGGGCAGGGAGTTGGGATGTAGGAGGTGTGTGGGGTGCAGTAGGGGGCACAAGGTAGGGGGTGGGGTTTGGCAGGGGGTTGGGGTGCAGGAGGTGTTCGGGGAGCGGGTCCGGCCCGGCGCACACCAGGGGCAGGGCAGGGCAGGCTGCCTGCCTGCCCCCATGCTGCTCCGGGAAGCTGCCGGGACCTGGCGGAGGGCACAGAAGTCTGTGTGTTGCCCTGGCTGCTCCTCCAGGTACCTCCCCCAAAGCTCCCATTGCCGGGAACAGGGAGCTGTAGCCAATGGGAGCTTAGGGGGAGGTACCTGGAGGAGCGGCCAGGGCAACACAGACTCCTCTGCCCCACACCCCCCAGGTCCTGGCCGCTTCCTGGAGCGGCGCAGGGGCAGGCAGACAGAGAGTCTGCCCCTGCCCCCCCCCCAGGTAAGTGCTGGGGGGGCGGGGGTGCCGCAGAGAGCTGGCAGGCTGCAGAAAATAGCCCTGCGGGCTGCGTGTTTGACACCCCTGCACTACAGCCTTTACAGTAGCACCTTGCCCTGGGACTGTGCCTGGGGGCTCTCGGTGCAGCTCAGGGTCATGGCCTTTGGCCAAGGTGGCCAGTGCGCTGGGAGGAAGCGGAACCCTGGGCAGTTCCATAGCTGTAAGGAGTCTGGCGAGAGATGGGTCCGAGCTGGGTAGCGCCCAGGGAAAGGGACTGGTAGGAAACAGCTGCAGAAACCCATGGCAGGGAGCCACCAGCTGGTGTAATGCTGAGCTCTGCAATCGCTCGCACTGTTTGGTGGCTGAGAAATTATCAACTTGTGCTCCGCATCCTCTGTAAACAGAATAGATTTTACCCTGTCCCTGGTATCATGTGGCATGACCCCAGCTACCTTTGGACTTCTCAATATAAGAAATTTACACAGTTTGGAAACTCAGGAAATAACTTGGGTGGAAAGAGATGCAGGCACCTAAACCTTACTACATAAGTTGCCTTAATACATCAGCCTTGCAAAACTTGCTTGGGGTGATTCTTGTTCTCTCTTTTTGGAAGCTGAGTGAAGTAGTTTTTCTCATTTCAGTTATCATGGCACTCAGTGAGTGCGTAGACTTTATGCCTGGGATGATGATTCTCCTATGATATTGCAAGGTTGAAATACCGTGTTTTTCGTCAATGGAAAATGTATAAAGATTGCCAGAGTAGCTGACAAAATAGCTAATGGTGAAAATGCAGGATGTGTGCTCAGATTAAGATATATATTATTTATATATATATTAGTTGATTAGCACATATATTAGTTGATTGTTCTGTAGGTCATATTTTAGCAGTGCATCCTTGATCACAATTCATCTAAAGGAAAAGCTCCAGTATAATGAGATTTTAATTGTGACTTCTACTTTCTAGCATGTGGACAGCCACATTGTCAAACAATCAGAAGAGCTAAATAAGTTTAGAAGAGGTGTGATATGTTTCTGAATAGTTAACACACAAAGTGTCCAGCTATTATCTTGAGCTAAGGCACTTATATGGCCCCCATCACTGTACTGTCTGTGTGCTTCACAATCTTTAACGTATTTATCCTCACAACACGGCTGTGAGGCAGAAAATTACTGTTATCTATTACTATTTGTAAAACGGGGAACTGAGGCACAGAGAGGCTAAATCACTTGCTCAGGGTCACACAGGAAGTCCATGGTGGAACAGGGAATTGAACCTGGTCTTCCAAGCTCTAAACCTAGTGCCCTTACTGCCAGACCATTCTTCCGCTCTAAAATATTTAAACTGGTGTCTTAATTTTTAGACCAATATATGGTCAGATAATCAATCTGTGACCCTCTATGTTGACCTAGGAAATTGAGTCAGATCCTGTTCCCATTGACTTCACATTTTTAATGAGCCATTCTTAAACATACTGGAGGCTGTACAAAATAAATGTGACAAACATCCTCTTTAAATTTCTGAAATAAAACAAACTGATCTCAATGCGAATACCCACATGAGTAAGAGTTCAGTGAACAAGGCCACTACAACAGGGCCGTTTTGAAAGTTGATCACTGAGAAAGTAATGGGAGAGGATAATATCTTAATTTAGTAGCGTTCCCAAATACTACGGTGATGAGCATATTAAAATATAGTGTGCAAACAGAAGGCAGTAACTTTTGGTTACTCCTTGATTCCTACCAGTTCTATAGAAATGAAAAACTTATTCCCAGTCTCCTAAACCAGGGGTGGGCAAACTATGGCCTGGGGGCCACATCCAGCCCGCAGGACCGTCCTGCCCGGCCCTTGAGCTCCTGGCTGGGGAGGCTAGCCCATGGCCCCTACCCTACTGTCCCCACTCCCCTGCAGCCTCAGCTCGTTATACCGCCAGTGTGATAAGGGGCAGGGGATCCTTGGGGGTAGTCAGGGAGCAGGGGGGGCGGTTGGATGGGGTGGAGGTTCTGGCGGGAGGTGTAGTCAGGGGATGGGGAATGGGGGGGTTGGATAGGCGTGGGAGCCCCAGGGGGCCTGTCAGGGGGTAGGGGTGTGGATGGGGGTGGGGTCCTGTGGGGCCAGTTAGGGGCAGGGAGTCCCAGGAAGGGGCGGTCAGGGGACAAGGAGGAGTGGGGTTGGATGGGTCAGGGATTCTGAGGGGGTGGATAGGGGGTGGGGACCAGGGTGTTTGGGGAGGCACAGCCAGCCCTTTGTCCAGTTTCAGAACCTCAGTGTGGCCCTCAGGCCAAAAAGTTTGCCCACCCACGTCCTAAACTATCTACAAAAAGAAAAGGAGGACTTGTGGCACCTTAGAGACTAACAAATTTATTAGACCATAAGCTTTCGCGGGCTACAGCTCACTTCATCGGATGCATAGAATGCAACATATAGTAAGAAGATATATAAAATATATACATACAGAGAAGGTGGAAGTTTCCATACAAACTGTAAGAGGCTAATTAGTTAAGATGAGCTATTATCAGCAGGAGAAAATAACTTTTGTAGTGATGATCAAGATGGCCCATTTAGACAGTTGACAAGAAGGTGTGAGGATACTTAACTTAGGGAAATAGATTCAATATGTGTAATGACCCAGCCACTCCCAGTCTCTATTCAAACCCAGGTTAATGGTACCTAGTTTGCATATTAATTCAAGCTCAGCAGTTTCTTGTTGGAGTCTGTTTTTGAAGCTTTTCTGTTGCAAAATTGCCACCCTTAAATCTTTTACTGAGTGGCCAGAGATGTTGAAGTGTTCTCTTACCGGTTTTTGAATGTTATGATTCCTGATGTCAGATTTGTGTCCATTTAGTTTTTTGCGGAGAGACTGTCCGGTTTGGCCAATGTACATGGCAAAGGGGCATTGCTAGTACATGATGGCATATATCACATTGGTAGATGTGCAGGTGAACGAGCCTGATGGCATGGCTAATGTGATTGGGTCCTATGATGGTGTCACTTGAATAAATATGTGGACAGAGTTGGCATCGGGCTTTGTTGCAAGGATAGGTTCCTGAATTAGTGTTTTTATTGTGTGATATGTGGTTGCTGGTGAGTGTTTGCTTCAGGTTGGGGGGCTGTCTCTAAGCGAGGACTGGCCTGTCTCCCAAGATCTGAGAGCGTGAGGGATCATTTTTCAGGATAGGTTGTAAATCTTTGATGATGCGCTGGAGGGGTTTTAGTTGGGGGCTGAAGATGACAGCTAGTGGCGTTCTGTTATTTTCTTTGTTTGGCCTGTCCTGTAGCAGGTGACTTCTGGGTACTCTTCTGGCTCTGTCAATCTATTTTTTCACTTCAGCAGGTGGGTATTGTAGTTTTAAGAATGCTTGATAGAGATCTTGTAGGTGTTTGTCCCTGTCTGAGGGATTGGAGCAAATGCGGTTGTATCTTAGAGCTTGGCTGTAGACAATGGATCGTGTGATGTGGTCTGGATGAAAGCTGAATCCACAAAAACAACAAGGATTCTGGTGGCACCTTAAAGACTAACTTAAAGACTAACTAACTTAAAGACTAGTTTTATGTGAGCATAAGCTTCCGTGTGTAAAACACCACTTCTTCAGATGCATGGAGTGAAAATTACCAAATTGGTAATGCATCTGAAGAAGTGGTGTTTTACCCACAGAAGCTTATGCCCACAAATCTGTTAGTCTTTAAGGTGCCACCAGACTCCTTGTTAACATTTGGAAAGATCATTAAGTGGTCTGCCGAGACCCTCAGCAATTTTCAAGTGGTCTGTGGGAAAAAAAGTTTGAAAACCACTGCCATATGTGACTGCAAATTCATATTGAATGTACTGTCCACTATCACCTCTAAATCTCCTGTAGCAAATTTCCTGGTTCCTTACTGTCATTGAATCTACTCCTGTCCCTCCACCCATTAAGATATAGAAGATTGTGAAGTAAATTTTTTTCCAAATTGAACTGTATTTGTGGTTTGTGTTTTTTCTCCATGGATTTACCTCTAATCTCTGCAGTAGTCTGTTTTTTCTACATGCACAAAAGAATAGAATTGTAGGAGAGAGATTGGCAAGGAGTCACTTCTTCTGTATGTTTGATTTGGATGGCCCTTTACCTTACAGTATAGTCTCAATTATCAGAGCACAATGAAGAACTTCAGATAATTAAGGGGATTGTCATTATAACAAGTGTTGAGGGCATTACCCTGTTCTGGGTAGCTGTGAATCTGTGTAGAGGTTCAGATTATAAGGATGAGTTGTTGTTGGCTTGCTACCTGAAGTGTGTCCAATTTAAGATTTTAAGTCTTGTGTCTCAAAAGCAGATTGTTAGCTTATTAGCTTAATGGTTTATGGTGAGCTGTGTTACTTCAGAAATAAAATGGATTTCCTGACTTTAAATCTGAAATTTTGTTTTCATTGTACTCTGAACACTTGTTTTAGGGAGATTGTTTTGTGTGGGGGGGAGGGGTGAGAAAACCTGGATTTGTGCTGGAAATGGCCCAACTTGATTAACATACACATTGTAAGGAGAGTGATCACTTTAGATAAGCTATTACCAGCAGGAGAGTGGGGTGGGAGGAGGTATTTTTTCATGCTTTGTGTGTATATAAAAAGATCTTCTACACTTTCCACAGTATGCATCCGATGAAGTGAGCTGTAGCTCACGAAAGCTTATGCTCAAATAAATTGGTTAGTCTCTAAGGTGCCACAAGTACTCCCGTTCTTTTTGCAAATACAGACTAACACGGCTGTTAGTCTGAAACCTGTTTTGTGAAAGTGTAATGAAGAGCATTGCTGGGTTACTTGCAGTTGAGCTTTGTTGGTTATTTTTAGTTCAGAGCATAGCAGTTTGTTTTTCATATGTCAGAAGAATGTTGTATGTGGAACGTAAGTTTTAAAAGTGGAGAATTAATCAGTGGGTGAAATCAGTAATGCTATTTGTAGATATACTGGGAAGACTATAACCTATGCAGTGGCCTCTTTTTATCATCTGGAGGCTTGGTAAAGCGTTCGCTCTCTTGGATATAAAGCAAGGTAAAATACTTTTTGTCAATTAAAGAGATGTGACCTTTTAGATTTAACTGGATTCTTAATTGCGTACTTTAATGTTGATTGCTCACCTATTGCAGTTGTTTACTGTATTTAGTTAACTTCAGTTCACTTTTAAAATGAACTAAAATTGCACCCTTCCTTTAATTGCTTTTTTTTATTTTGGATAGACTGACATCTCCCAGATCACTTTATAAGCAATCTGTTTAAGGAGTCACTGAGAGACTATTTTCTGTGACTCATTGATCACCTCTTTTCAGAGGTGCAATTAACTTTTAGAGGTAGCTTGTTTTAAAGATCAGCCTTTGATATTGTAAATTAGCCAAACTGGGATGTTTTGAATGTAAACATAGGCTGGTGGTAATAGCTTCTTGGACTCTTAAATTGCAGGTGTTTAGCCTGAAGCTCATAATCAAGGAGCAAATAAATTTATGGCATGTATCAAAACCCAGTCTGGGTATGATGCAGAATTGTGGCACACTAAGTTAGCACCTTGTAGTTCACTTTTAAGATATCTTAAGTTTTTGTGAGAGATAAAATTATTAAATCCAAATCTGGGTTGATATGGACAGTAATATAGGTTAATGAGATACTATCATCTTGAAATTATTTTTTTAAATGAGCTGAGTTAAAAATAGCTTTAGGATACACCTACTCTTGAGTTTATCTGCTAATTTTGGTGGCTTTACAATCATTTTGTTCGTTGCCAAAATGTTTCTTTACCATATTGCTGTGTGACGGATGAAACTAACTACATAGGGGCAAACAGGGAAATTGACTATACAGAGAGCTAGCTATGCAATGCCCAAAGTAAATAATCTGGAAAACGGTAGTTACTCTGTTATAATAGGTGTTACAACTAAGTGTAATTTTTTTTTAATTTGACAGATGTTTCTTTAAATATGTAATCTTCTTTACCCACAATTCTTACATTTTAACTAATCAGTAAGGCCCTGATTCTGAGGACAGAGCTGCATGGGCAGGCCTGAAATCAACAGGATACCTTATGGGCACAAAAGTCCACCCATGCAGATCCAGTTGTAGAACTGAGACTTTAGTATTTAAATTTCAATCTAGTGGATCAGTTCCAGTGGTGTTGTTAAACTGGCTTAAAAGGTAAATATTTAAATCACAACTGAATGGATACCATAAACTTTAAAGCTTCACTTCTGTCTGAATTATCTTACTTACTAAAAAGAAAAGGAGTACTTGTGGCACCTTAGAGACTAACGAATTTATTTGAGCATGAGCTTTCGTGAGCTACAGCTCACTTCATCGGATGCATACCGTGGAAACTGCAGCAGACTTTATATACACACAGAGAATATGAAACAATACCTCCTCCCACCCCACTGTCCTGCTGGCAGGACAGTGGGGTGGGAGGAGGTATTGTTTCATATTCTCTGTGTGTATATAAAGTCTGCTGCAGTTTCCACGGTATGCATCCGATGAAGTGAGCTGTAGCTCACGAAAGCTCATGCTCAAATAAATTAGTTAGTCTCTAAGGTGCCACAAGTACTCCTTTTCTTTTTGCGAATACAGACTAACACGGCTGTTACTCTGAAACCTGTCATTGTTTGTTTTGCAACTAAGCCCAGACTCCTCCTCTCCCCCTCCCCTTCACCCCACCCCCCACAACATACACCAGACCCTCTAGCTGATGATGCTGAAAGGACTTTAACACACACACAACTTTCCTGGGATGCTGTGTTTTTGTTCTCAACTGCCTAAACCAAACAAAAACTTAAGAGTCACTCTATCTCTGGTCTCAGACTGACTGAGTCTTTACGTTCTTCAACTAATATAACAAAGTAAATAACTTCAAAGTAAAAGAGAATCACCTTTTCCAGGTATCTAAGCTTGTGAGCTCCTTGGCCCCACTCAGACAAGGCTGGTTTCAGAGGAACAGCCGTGTTAGTCTGTCTTTGCAAAAAGAAAAGGAGTACTTGTGGCACCTTAGAGACTAACCAATTTATTTGAGCATGAGCTTTCGTGAGCTATAATTCTAACTGCCATCTTAGCAAGGCAAATATATGCTGAAGTACAGAGACATGGGTATTGGGGGCATCTTTTCAAGGACCAGCTTGATGCAGACTGCTGTCAGCCCAGGAGAGTTTTCCTCTGAACCCCAAAGGGCCAGTAGACATAATCACAGTTAAGCTTCTAATAAAAGAAAATACAACAAAAGGTGGATGGTAAATTTGTGGATCGATGTACCTTTTGCACATTATCCAGAATTCAAACTTTTTTTCAAGGAACTGTGATATAGTTTAATATACAACTCTAATTCTTAGACATCTGTTTTAAATTTAATTTCCTATACTTTAGTCACTGTTTTTCTCCCCTAGAATCCAACAGCCATCATGTCTAGTAAAAGAGCAAAGACAAAGACCACTAAGAAGCGCCCTCAGCGTGCAACCTCCAATGTATTTGCAATGTTCGATCAGTCACAGATTCAAGAATTCAAAGAGGCCTTCAACATGATTGATCAGAACAGAGATGGCTTCATCGACAAAGAAGACTTGCATGATATGCTCGCTTCCCTTGGTAATGTTTATTTCTCCAGATGTCTATTTATCTGATATTTGTGGCCCCCATCATTGTATTAACTGAGCATTATAAAATGGCTATGTGCCTGTTGCAATCATCACAAGAGCATGGCTGTTAACTTTTTATACATTTTTGAGCTGCTTTATGAAAGGTGTTAGTCTGTTTAAAATTAGCAAATATAATTTGGTGGATGAATAAACATATTATAATGACTATCAAAAATATGAATACTTTAATTATAGGAAAGAATCCAACTGATGAATACCTAGATGCTATGATGAATGAAGCTCCAGGCCCCATAAACTTCACTATGTTCCTCACAATGTTTGGAGAAAAACTAAATGGCACAGATCCAGAAGATGTAATCAGAAATGCTTTTGCTTGCTTTGATGAAGAAGCAACAGGTAAGTAGGTGAAATATCAATGCTGGGTTATCTGCTTTTGAATCTTTAATAAAAGGATTTCTTTTATTCAGCCATGACTGTAAATATATAATGAATTTAATTAGATCATTTGAGGTTATTATGGGCTTCTAAGGACTTGTCTACATGGTGCCTTTGCGCATGTCTGCAGAGATGTAAATCTCAATGCACACCCCTTTGTTGTGCATTAACTGTCCCATGCAAACTCTGGTGTGTAATAAAGGTCCATTTATGCACATTTAATATAGTGCTGCTGGACTACATTAATGTGGACTAGGGAACTTTTAGTGCACATCAGCAGGTCCATATGAGCCAGTTAGTGCACAACACACTGATGCACGCTAGAATTTACACCCTTGCTGGTAGACAAGCCGTGAATATACCCAGTATACAATTTTCTGATAATCATGACTTAATTTTTTTATTTTATTTTGCAAGTGTCAAAAACACTTAATGTAATTTTATCATCTCTGCGGCAGAAATGTTAAAATATTGGGCGTAAAGACTGTTAAACCCATCCAGTTGCTTAAAATCCATCTATCAGAACCCAAAATACTGAAAGCCATTTAAAAACAAATGTGGTGACTGGGAGCTGTCTTAAAATTATAGGAAATTTAAAAGCTTAGAACAGTAGTTTTCAATTGGTTAATGGAACACCAGTTGCCCACAAAAGACTTGCTGGTGAGCTGCAGAGTTGACTTCCAACACTTGCTGGCTCCTCATTTCCTCCTGTTAAACTGTATTTAAAAGAAAACAAAAATGTATAAAATACCTAATTTTTTTATGTAAGAAAAAGTTGTTGCTATAGCAATGTTTATCACCAATAGGAGGGGGAGAAATGGCTCACATATCCTATTGTGGGAGGCTGTAGTCCATGCTGTGTCAAAGTTTGGGAACCTCTGATTAGAATTTGCCATTGAATTGATACTAACATACAAATATATCTGAAATATTAAGATTTCTTCACGTCTTTAGCCTTGACATTTAAGTTAGGCTAGATTCAGCTCCCATTCAATATGAGCTGGATTGTACTCACTTGTCTTAAACATTTTTTACTTAAAACTGCTGAGCATACAATCAGTGAAAACTTCCATGTAGAAATGTTTGTTTAAGACTGTCTTAAATCTATTTGTTTCAACCAAAATATAAACTTAATGTCTTTCCAGACAGACTGTTTTGATGCAATTTGAGGTCAGTTCTTGCCATTGAAGTTCTGGGATTATTGTGTGGAAAAAGCTATGAGAGGTTGTCACGCAGAATGTACCAGATCAGGCTATTCATCCAAGTCTTATGGTGGCCATTACCTTAAGTGTCAGAGGGAGCTGGAAGGTGTAGAGGCTCTCATAATCCTGTTGTAGCACTTCAGTGTGACTCTGAAGCATAAGACTTAGATATAATCTTGTCTTGCATAACTAAACACTTTATCTTTGGCAATTAAAATAATCCAGCCCTGTTATTAAATGCAGCCACAGTATTTAACTTTGGCCTCCTGCAGTCTTATATTGACAGCTTTGTGTCTTGCTTCTCCCTGGAGTTAATGCTTAAATAGGCTTGTAAATATTTATTCTGTCTTTCTTAAGCAATATATGTGTGATTACTTAACTCCAAACTACAAATTTTTTCTCTTTGAAGATCCAGTAAGAAAACTCTTTTTGGTTTATCCTGATTCGCTGTACACATTATATTCCAGGGTTCATTCAAGAAGATTATCTGAGAGAGCTGCTGACGACAATGGGAGATAGATTTACAGATGAAGAAGTAGATGAGCTGTACAGAGAGGCACCAATTGACAAAAAGGGAAATTTCAATTACATTGAATTCACACGTATCCTTAAACATGGAGCAAAAGACAAGGATGATTGAACAAAATATCAGACACCTGCAGCTAGCTCTAGTTTTCACTTGTGTTTATTTTTGAGGGTTTTTTCCTGGTAGAACCTGTTGCATGCATCTACCTTTTTGAAGCTTTTGCCTTTCTCAGTATATTTATCTATTCCAGGCCATTCTGGCATATTTGCACCTGTATAATCAGACTGGATGTGGGGGGATGATATTGTAGTGAAAAGAATCTGGGGACAAAGATCAATGAATTTGAAGGCCCAGGAAAAAAGTCTCAATGTTTCTGGTTTAGCTGGATTTTTACATTTTTGTAATAAAAATGTCCTTTTGAAATAAAGATTGCTATATAAATAAAATATCTCAAACTGTTTTGTGAAGTGACATTTTCTTGTTACTAAATGTCTTCATTTTTAAAAGCATATGTACCTAGTCTTTATATCAGGGTAAGACTCAAGATGTTACAGTGAGTTTACAGTTTATAAAACATTTGCATTAAGTACTGTCTCTTCACACTTAAGTGAGCAGGGATATTCAATTTTATAATATTGTGAAAAATACTGGTACCTAAATGTTAACACTCACAACTAATGGCTTTAGTCTCTGAAGGGGAGTCTGGCTGGTGTAGGCGTAAGCAGAATGGGTGGGGAAGACTATTGCAGTTGGGCAGCAACCAATTCTTTCTTCCCTGAATTGTGCTGCTGATGTAAACAGCTTTCATGATTTTTGTGTGTGCATGCTGATTAGCCCTTATTTATTTTCCTTTATTACAAGGGTGAGAGCGTTTGGAAAATTGTAACTTGGAGAACAGGAATACAGAAGATAAGACAAGCATGATGCTGATGATTCAAGTAGGAGGGGACATATTTATATTTCCATTGTGCCTACTTGCATCCTCTCCCGCCGCCAATAACTTGTTCTAGACTGAGATGTCTACACTACCACTACTGAATGACTGCATTTTAAAAACGATATATTGTTGCTATACAGGCCCCTTGATTTCATGTACAGCTTCGCAGCATGATTAGAACTCACTTTTTCTTCAGCTACACATTCTTAAACAATTGTGCTAATGTTATGTGATGAATTTTAATTATGACCCTTATCAATTAAGTACATGTGCTGTTGTCATGTTCTAAAAAGTAGGATGCAAATAGTTAATCATTTATTACATTTCTTGCCCGTACACAGCCCCCACCTTCTTGCAGGTCATCTTTCCTTAGCCACCAGTTGGAATGGATTTCAATCTGCTGCCAGTCCCCTACTTCATTAACCTGGTCCCAGGACTGTTTGTGGAATCCCATTGCACTCCCCTTGTATGAGGGTTAGGGGAGTGGGAATGACAGGGTTGTCTCCTTGATGTCAGACATTAGGAACCCCAACACCCTTTTTCAGTTTCTGTAGGAGATGTCTTCATTCTCCTAATCCACTTCCAATTCTGATTTATCTGGGAACCAGACTCCTATTGAATGCTTATGTGCACAGGTCACCTGCCAAGTTGCAATAAAATATTTTTACAACCTAATCTATCCACTGACTCATGGGGCAGCTAAGGGGAACCCGAAAACGCCTATCTACCCAGCCCAACCTGGCACTGAGAGAAAAATTTCTTCCCATTCCCCAAAAACGGGGACACATGATGCTCACAGCAAGGCCCAAAAACTCTGCTTCTACTCTTAATTCCAGAAAGTGGAAGATTTTTCTTTCCTCTGCAGACTAGTCTCTTGTTTTTCCCACTCCGCTCCTTGTATGCATGGGAGCCAGTACACTTCTGCACCCTTCTGCCTACCTCCTCAAGTCTGTGACGGGTGAAATCCTTAAAGTGTCAATAGGTTTTCTTTCCACTGTTGGCCTCTCATGTCTGAGGCAGGGTGGGACACTTGAGTGTAGAAGTATAGTACTGCCCTCTTACTACTTGCAGGAGCTCTGGACAGAAGTACTTACTCTTCTTGGTATTCCACTTCCTCTAAAGCAGGGGTTCTCAAATAGGGGGTTGGGACCCCTCAGGGGGTTGCAAGGTTATTACATTAGGGGTCATGAGCTGTCAGTCTCCACCCCAAATCCTGCTTTGCCTCCAGCATTTATAATGGTGTTAAATATATTTTAAAAGTGTTTAATTTTTAGGGGGGGTCACACTCAGAGGCTTCCTATGTGAAAGGGTGACCAGTACAGAAGTTTGAGAACTACTGCTCTAAAGCCTTATTCTTGCTAAGGGTTTTTAAGTGGGGAAGGGGAACGTTTTAAGATGAGCATGGCACTGTGAAATAATGTATGTCCACAGTTGCTGTTTCATATAATATAGAGATTCCTTTTTCTAATATTGTTGGTGTTTCTAGCATGGCAATTCCTGGAGATGATCTGTTTCTTTTTTGTAAAATACGTAGTTTATTTCCCCTTGTTTTTTCTTTACCCCCCCCCCCCCCACAGATGTTCTGGTTTAACTTGGATTTAAACTTGGAGAGTGGTCAGTTTGGATGAGCTGTTACCAGCAGGAGAGTGAGTTTGTGTCTGTATGGGGGTGGGGGGCTGAGAGAACCTGGATTTGTGCTGGAAATGGCCCACCTTGATTATCATGCACATTGTAGGGAGAGTGGTCACTTTGGATGAGCTATTACCAGCAGGATAGTGAGTTTGTGTGTGTGGTTTTTGGGAGGGGGGTGAGAGAACCTGGATTTGTGCAGGAAATGGCCCAACTTGATTATCATGCACATTGTGTAGAGAGTTGTCACTTTGGATGGGCTATCACCAGCAGGAGAATGAATTTGTGTGGGGGGGTGGAGGGTGAGAGAACCTGGATTTGTGCCGGAAATGGCCCAACTTGATGATCACTTTAGATAAGCTATTACCAGCAGGACAGTGGGGTGGAAGGAGGTATTGTTTCATATTCTCTGTGTGTATATAAAGTCTGCTGCAGTTTCCACGGTATGCATCCGATGAAGTGAGCTGTAGCTCACGAAAGCTCATGCTCAAATAAATTGGTTAGTCTCTAAGGTGCCACAAGTACTCCTTTTCTTTTTGCAAAGACAGACTAACACGGCTGTTACTCTGAAACCTGTAGTTTAAAATAACATTCAACAGTTTTGCCTCAAATTTTTCTGGGTGGTCTTTTTCCCCCTCTATGCTTTAATTAAAACCAGTTATTTCTACATTTCCTAGTGTATTTTTATCCAAGTTGTAACTGGCAGTTTGCCCGTATTCATTGCTTTTCTTGATTGTTCTGGGTTTGGTTTGGTGTTTCCTACCTAGCTGGATAGTCTTTGTCCTTTAACAACAATGTTGCCGTTCCAGACCATCCAGCCAACTCCTCCTCCCCAGTAGCTGGTTTCCAATTGTCCCAGCGCTCCTCTGCGTAGTTGCTATGGCACACCCTGTTGGAATATCAGTAAGACCTCAGTAGCAGCACATTTTTGAAAAGCCATTTGCCAAATATGCAATAAATTCTTTCCTACAACACCCTGATAGGGATGTTGCAGTTAGGGGAAACAATCACTTAGACCTTTAAGAAACAACAGCAGAAAACACATATTTAAAAAATGTTTTGTAACATTAAAACTAAATAATAAAAAATACCCAACAACCTTGACTAGGGCATCATCCTTTCACATTTAAACAACTATCTGGGTGTAAATAAATATATAATGCATATAACTTCACAAACTATAGACTTCATTATGCTTTTGGTTGTTCGTGGATGTGGAGGCTCACCCTAGGGGGGAGGGATAGCTCAGTGGTTTGAGCATTGGCCTGCTACACCCAGGGTTCTGAGTTCAATCCTTGAGGGGCCATTTAGGGATTTGGGGCAAAAATTGGGGATTGGTCCTGCTTTGAGCAGCGGGTTGGACTAGGTGACCTCCTGAGATCCCTTCCAATCCTGATATTCTATGAGAAAAGTGAGTTGAGATCCAGATCTGTTTTCTTCTACATGACTTTTCTCTGCCACATATAATAATGGGTGTCTTTCTTAGCAGTGGGTCTTAAAACTTGTCATATGATGGACCTCCCAATATCCAAATCCCTCATACCTTATGTTTGAATTAATAATATTAATTTGGGAGACCATCACACACTAATTTAACCATGAATTCCAAAGGCTAAATAGTATTTCATACAATTGCGCTAAACATGCTCATAGCCTAAAAATAAGCAGTCACTATACCCAGTACAGTAACAAAATATTCATAAGCATGTGATCAGTATACTTACAAATAGGCTAGACCTAGGAAAAGATCTTATTCTGGTGTGCTCCAGCACGATCGGGTTGGGTCTCTCAAAGAACCTTCAGAGTCATGGTTCTATACCCTTTGCTAACTTCCAAGCTTTAGCAGAAATCCAGTCCAAAGCAACTTATCCTTGCTACTTTCCCTTCTCCAAGGCCTTCCTTTCTTATCTCTTTCCCTTCTTGCTGACCAACAGCTTTTTCATTGCATTTGCGTTCACGTAGGCTTTACTTTTAAGATAATATGGGTGGGAAGATCCTTGGTGGCTCCTTTTAAGACAGATTTTTTTCTTATTTAAAACCAGCTACAGTCACTGCTAGCAGTCAAAGGCCTTTTTAAAATTTTCCTTGTCTCATTAATTATTCTTTGAACCAGACATCCTCCCTACTCCATTCCTTCTGGCCTTAAACATTATTTTCAAGGCCTTCCATCTACTTGCTAGCAATAGCCTTTCTTTACAACACCTATATTTCCTTAACCAAACTTCAGCTAACTCTAATTCTTTAATTTCATATTTATTCTACACCTTAGCTCCTGATATGTTCCATTTGGCAACAAGTAGGTAAGGAGCCTATGGATTTATCTCATTCTATCAACCAAGATTTTGGAAACCACTGCCTTAGAATTAGTATCTGTCAAGGTTCTTTATATCAAACTGAAAAGCACATCATCCACCTCCACCTGGTATGTTTGCCCACTTCATAAAGAGCAGAACTTGTGCTGTAGGTTCTCTTGTGCTGTGATGAATATTCCTCTGATACCATTCTCTATCATGGGTCTTCTTAATATAAAGGCCTGGTAGCCAATGTTCTCATATAACCTGCATTTCGACAAACTGCTGCTCTGAATTTTCTGGAGCCCATTGCAAAACAATGGTTTTGTTGCTTATGCCTTTTATGCCTCCCTTTCTTACAGTGTTCATAAAATTTTGTATATACAATCTGTAAGCATCTCATCAGGAAGACATTTGTCACTGATGAGGAACTTCCAGAGATGTTGCTGTACTACTCATGCTTCCCTTCTGAGTTAAAGTTTGCCTAGTACCCACGCTGTAATGAAAGAGACTGACCAGCCTGCAAGCGGGCACAATACCATCCCAAGGCAAGGTTATCAACACAGGCAGCGAAGAGACCATATAAGAGCATCAGATGCATT